TAGAACATTCCATGCCTCTCAGCAACGTACTGCACTCAGAGGACCCATGCAGATGACTATCCCTGAAGCCTATGCTCATTACCTTCATGGAAACTCAGCATTTGCTACTGCCTTGTTTTTTCCCTGTGCTCAGAGCTGGATAACTACAAGGAATATCTGGGACTTCCTTTTCCTCGTCTCCTATTCATTCTGCTACTCACTGCAAAATGGAGTCCACCTGTGCTGCTCCACTGTAATTTTGCCTGAAAGTCATTTATAATTTCTTTCTTGCAAAATCATATTGATACTTTTAGTATCAGTTGCCTAAGCATTTATATTTATACGTGACCATCAATGCTCTTTCCTTAACCTCTAACACTTTCTCTTGGTTAGCTTTCAGGTTGTCAAATATCTTTTTTTGAGTTTCCTTAACTGCTCTTTTTTAGTTTATTCTTGAGACCTTATGTGTAATTTTACCTAGGGTTTTTCTGTAGCCCCATTTTAATTCTATACAGTACATACTATTTCTTTACATAACATCTTATTTTTTTTCAAATATCTTCTTCCTCTGTCAAATCTCCACCACCAACCCATATTTCTCTCCTAAATTCCAAGTATTTATGTCCAGATGGTTGTGCAAACTTCCTGAGATGAGAACAGGCTTGATTTATTTGTTTAAGGACCAACATGGAGGTAATATGTCCTCACTAATGAGTGAGTAGAAAAGGGGTAGGAGATGAATTAGGCACGTTAACATAGGATATATCTCAATGGAATACTTACAGCAGAGTAGTTAACAAATTGCTTTCAACTGTTTATTGTTTATATAACTTCACTTCTGGACTGAACTCCTTGAATGAAGAAACCGTATTCTCCTTGCCTCTACCCTCCCAGTACCTTTTCACTTGTATACATTTTATTGAATGAATGCATGAATGAATATATGAATGAACAGGATTTCCATGAAATTTGCTCTATGTGATTCAAAAATAAACGACTCTTGGTAAAATACCGGTAACATTAATCTTATAAGAACACAAGAGAGAATTCTTATAAAATTTCAAATTGAATTGCTTACCTTCTTTTGATTTTAAATAAGTTCACGACAGAGCTAAGTGAGATACTGACCTTTAAAAAGTATTATTTCTATTTGCTTTCTAAATTTCATTTAATGCACAATTGAGTTGTAAAGTTATATCAGAAATATGTAAACTTTCTCAAAGCGCCTATGCTATAAAATTGGTATACTGAAAATTTCAGCAACAAATTGCCCTCTTGTCTAGAGTACTAAATGAAGAATTTTCTTTCCATAGCCATTTATATTTGATCACTTCAGTGGTTAGGAAGAAATACTAGGTCCTGTCTACATGTTTTACACTCTCAGTAAAGAAACAGAGACAGTAAAGCTCTATAATAATTCACAGAAGATACAAACATTTACAAAATGATTTAACTCTTATAAGGCCATCACTTATACTACAATCACCTTTAATATACCTGTAAACTGACTGAGCACCAATCATTCATACCTTCTGCATTTTTTTAAGAATTCTGGCAAAATAAAAATAAAATAGCAATGTGATTATACTCTCACTTTAGTATATACAGATACTAAACTCCTGAAACTTAATATATATATATATTGTAGTAAAAAAAAAAAAAAAAAAAAAATTAAATCCCTGAATACCATCTTTAACAATTTAGGAGTCAGAATATCCCACAAGAGCCTAGAATAGAAAGTATGACCCAAATGACCCAATCACAAACAGCAGTATTATGTATGCAAAATGAGTAACTATATGGTGGGAACAGCTGAAAGAGGAGGAAAGCACTCCAATTAGGTTTCTACACTATTTAGCTCAGTAGATAGGGACAAGCCAAAAATGGGGGGCAGCTCCCAAGTGGGGGGACTTCAACAGTACACCCAGTTATTTACTTTGCGCAGAAGGAAAAATAGCTTGAAATGAGAATGTGAGAAGGTTCATGGGCAGCGGCTGATGGCCTGGTCATCTGTCGGAGAGCTAGAAGGCAAAGGACTAGGTGATAAGAGACAAGGAAATCGGGGATAGAGGCATGTGGATGAAATCAAGAGGGCAAGCAAAGAGCAGACAATTGTCACACCACCACTTAACACCCACTATGACAGAGTCACTGAACAATCAAGTGGGTAAAATGATTTGCCCAGAAGATGGTACCCTACATTTGTCATTAGCCAGCCCAGAACTGGTATGATTGATAGTAAAATCTGAAGGACTGGCTAAAGGAGCAGGGACAGAAGCTCCACATAAGTGCAACAGCATGGACTCCTATTTATAAGGCACATCTAGCTACACTTGCCTCTGCATATCCAACTTGTCAGCCACAAGACTGATATTGAGACTTTACTATTACATAATCTCCTCAGGAGATAAACTGGCCAGTTGGGAAAAAAATCCAACTAAAATTTAGAAGGCTTCCATGTTGGTGGCATTTGTAGAAATCCAGTGATTTAAGGCATATTGAGATATCCCTTTCAAGGTGATTTCTTCTTGGGATTTTGATATCAAATCTATCTCATTTAGGCATGCTACTTATACTCTGATAAGATCGCTCATCCAAAAAGCTGCCAGTTTTGAGTAGGGTTCATAACAGGGGAAATATCTGCAATAAGTCCAGGCTGCTATGAAAGCTGCTCTGCCACTTGAGCCATGTTATCCTGCAAATCTGATAGTTCTCGAATTGTCTGTGGCAGATATGAATGAAGTATGGATTATTTCATGGCATTTATCGGTGACTCATAGTACAAACCTCAGGGTTTTGGAAAAAGCAATTTTCTACCAATAACTAACTATTCTCCTTTTGAAAAGCAGCTTTTGCCTTACTTACTTGAGACAGAATGTTTGACTGTAGGCCAACATGTTCCCATGTTACCTGAAATGCTCATTACAAACTGGGCATTTTCTGACCTACTGAACCATTGAGTTGAGTATGCATGGTAGCATTTCATCATCAAATGAAAGTAGAAGACATGTTCACATATGTGAGACAGGCTTCAAAAGTTCTAAAAGTATAAGTAAGTTTCATGAATAAATGGCAGATATGCCAATGGCCTGTGATCATGCCCCATACCCTCTCTCTCTTAACCTGCATCTATGGTCTCAAGTAGAGTTTCCTATAACCAATGACCCAGAAAAAGAAAAAATCTAGACCTGGCAGCATATCTAGCATTACAATCCCATTAGCGTATCCCTGAAGGACAGCCTTAATGGAAAGTTCTTTAAGTAGGCACTTTTTTTTTTCTGGTAACTGGCAATTTTTAGAACAATTTTAGGCTTAGAAAATTGAGGACAGTGTAAAAACAGTTTCCACATAACTATTCTCTCCCCACTCCTCACCCCCCATACTTTACCTTATAATTAACTTCTTGCATTTGTGTGGTACCTTTGTCACAAGCGATAAACCAATATTGGTACATTATTTTTAACTAAAGTCTATCATGTGCATTAAGATTCACTCTTTGCATTATATGCTCCCATGGTTTTAAGAAATGCATAATGCCATGTATCCATCATTGCAGTATTATATAGAACAGTTTAACTGGACTGAAAATCCTAAGCTCCACCTATTCACCTTGAATCCTTGAAAAACACTGATAGTTTACTATCTGCAGTCTTGCCTTTTTCCAGAATGTCATATAATTTAAATTGTACACTATGCAGAGCTTTTTCAGATGGGCTTCTTTTACTAAGCAATATGTCAAGAGCTGAGCTGGAGAAAGCTGGAAGTGCCAAGCATTAAGGTGGTCATTTAAGGCAACAAGTGAAAATGAAAGTTAATAGTCAAGCCTTTAATCACTTACTACAATGGGTAAGCAAGAGGCTCACCAGGAAAAAGTGCCAGTTTCCTTGTCCCATTGGAACATCTCCCCAGTGGAATGGTGCCATAGGAAAGTCATGCGTATCACAGCAGGTGAGAGAATCTACCAAAGGAGCTCTGAGTAAAAGGCTCCTACTTTTTTATGGAGCTCATGGGGAGGTGGGGAGAAGGAAAAGGCGAGGAGTAGAAAAATCCTGACTATGGAGTCAGAGTGGAGAAAAATGTTGCAAGGCCCTGCAGTAAGGTGGTCATGGCAGAGGCACCTGAGAAAGGCCTCAGCAAAGGGCTCCCTGTAAGCATGTCTCCAAACTCAGGCATTTGGGCTAGAAATGCACATATGCATAAGAACATGGCCAGCAGGAGTGAAGAGTGGGGAGGCACTGAACACTTAACTGTAATTCTCTTTAGATTGTGTATTACGTGGAGGGTGGGGAAGGCAGCTTTCCCTCAGGAGACCTGTAAGGTATGGGCTTTGTTACTGCTTATGGTCAAGACTCAAAAATAGCACACAGAATTTTGGCCTGGAATCGGACACTTCAATGGATCTTTAAAGTTCTTCCAGTATCTTTTCTTGGCTTGATAACTTTTCTTCTTATCATTTTAATGCATAATATCCCATTGTATGCATATACCAGTTGTTTATTCATTTTTTGAAGAACATCCTGGTTATTTCTAGTTTTGGGGAATTATGAAGAAAGTTATAAACATTCAAATGCTGGTTTTTTGTGCCAACTCATTTGAGTAAATAACGAGGAGGGTGGTTGCTGGATCATACATATGCTGAGACTATGTTTGACTTATAAAAAGCAGCCAAACTTTCTTCCAAAGTGGTTGTTCCACATTTCCACCAGCCATGAGTGAGAGTTTCTGTGGCTCCCCATCCTCACTAGTATTTGAACTTGTCAGCTTTGGATTTTAGCCATTCAGTTATTGTCTTAATATGCAACTTCCTAATTACCTGTTGTTACAGACTGAATGTCTGAGTCCCCATAAAATTTACATCTTGAAACCCTACCCTCCAACTTGATGGTATTAGGAGGTGGCGCCTTTGGGAATTACCTTAAGATTAGATGATCTCATAAGGGTGGAACCCTCATGAATGGGATCGGAGCCCTCATAAGAATCCTAAGACCTTGCATCCTCTCTATGTTCTATCTCACGTGAAGTTACAAGGAGAAATTGGCACTCTGCAACCTGAAAGAGGTTTCTCACCAGATCTCATCCTTACTGGTACCTTAACCTCAGCCTTTAGCCTCCAGAACTGTGAGAAACTGTGGCTTATAAACCACTCAGTCTATACTTTATTTTAGCAGCCTGAAAAGACACATGTGATATTGAGCATCTTTTCATGTGTCTATTTGCCATGTGTATATCTTTTTTGGTGAGGTGTCTGCTGCCCATTTTTTATTTGTGTTGTGTTTTAAGAGAGATTTTTTCTTTTGTATTTTTTAGATACCAGTGCTTTATTAGATAAGTATTTTGCAAAAGTCTGTCCCAGTCGATAACTGTTTTCCTTTCTCTTGACGGTGTCTTCTGTAGTGAAATTTTTCATTTTAATGAAATCAAATTACCAATTTTTCTCAAGAATCACACTTTTAGTGTTATATCTAAAAACATATCAGCAACTTTACAGCCACCTATATTTTCTCTTACATTATCTTCTGTAAATTTTATTATTTTACACTTTACACTTAGGTCTGTGATAAGCTTAGAGTTAATTTCTATGAAAGGTGTAGGTCAGGGTCAAGTTTAAATTTTCTACATGTAGACATCTAGTTATTCCAGCACCATTTGTTGAAAAGACTATCCTTTCTCCATTGCATTACCTTTGTTCCTTTGTCAAATATCAGTAGACTATATTTGTGTGGTCTATTTCTGGACTCTCACTTCTGTTGTATCAATCCATTTGTCTAGTCTTTCAGTGATTCCATATTGCCTTGATTAATGTAGCTAGAAAGACTTCTAGCTAATTCAGGTAATATTATTTCTGATGTTTTGCCTATTCCAGGTCCTTTGCCTTTCCTTTGTCATATAAACTTTAGAACAAGTTTGTTGATACCTACAAAATAATCTATGGGGATTTTGTTACCATTTTGAATCATAGATTGAGCTCAGAATAGCAGGGAAAATATTGAACAATGCACAGATTTTTCATTTTGCTTGGAAAGCTGGAAACATGAATTTACAGTGAATAATTGGAAGTGGCTAATAGTGTCGCTGATGGGAACTTGGAAGGCAAAACAGGGGGAAATTAGTTAAAAGATCTGAGAAAAAAGCATATAAATAAAACTTTCAAATGGGCACAGGTTTGGAGATATTTGTGCCCATGAAAATTCTTATCAAAAAGCAATTTCAGCAAAGGAGGATTTCAACAATAAAATGGTTAGAATGACGTATTCTGTAGATATGTCAATTGTCCAACCTGACCTTGATCAAGGACTTACTATGAAGTGGCTATGTTGGTAGAGATGGAGGTTTTTCATGGGTGTAGCAATATAGATTTCCACTCACCAAAGACCAATTTGGCTTCAGTCACCACTATGACTCCAATATGTAATAAAATCAACCAATTCTGAACGTTTGATATAACACCATTCCCCATGTGATCAGTTAGATGGGTGGTGTCAGATTGACTACATAGGACTACTTCCATAAAGACATTTGTAATCATTGTTTCTCTCTGGAATAGATGTTTCCTCTGGATATGGATTTACTTTCCCTGCTTACAGTGCTTCTGCCAAAACCATTATCTGTGGGCTTTTGGGATGTCTTATTTATTGTCATGTTTTTCCACATAGCGTTAATTATAACCCAAACCAAAACAAAATGAAAACCTCATCTAATAGCAAGTAAAGTGAGATAATGAACTCATGTTCAAGGAATTTATTAGTCTTAACACATGTTCCCTCATTCTGAAGCTTCCAGCCTTATAAAACATTGCAATGGGTTTTAGAGACTCAGTTATGGTGTCAGGTAGGGGATACTACTTGTAGGGCTAGAGTAATGTCCTCTAACATGTAGTATATGGTTTAAATTAGAAACCAACAAATACGTTGTTTACCCCATATCCAGAATTCATGGGTCTGATAATCAAAGAGTGGAAATGGTAGCAGCTGTAGTCACTAATATCCTAGTGAGTCATTAGCAAAATTTGGCCTTCCTGTTTCAGCAACTTTGGATTCTATATATCCAGAAATCTTAGTTTCCAAAGTGAGAAAGTTTCATCAGAGGATAGCATGCTTCTACCAGGGCACATGGCAGTGGTTTTAATAAACTAGGAGACAATGCTACCTGACCACTTTGTGCTCCTCATTCTAGGCCATCTAGAGGGAAAAGGTAGTGGGTTGGCCCTGAATCTTCTGTGATCACTGGTCTTGACTACCAAGGAGAGACTGGGTTGCTATTACACAATGAAAGTAAGGGGGAGTTTGCCTGGAAGGCAGAGATTCCCTGACCTTCTTCTTATTATTCATAGGACCTTGTGATTAAAATCAATGAATAACTGAAAAAAACCCATAGGAAAAATGCTAATGGCTTAGATTTTCCAGAAATCAAGGTTTTATTAACCCATCACTTAATGAACTAAGACTAGCCAAAGTATGTGCCAAAGGCAAATGGTGTAAGACGTACATAGTGGAGAAAGAGAGGTTTAAAATGCCACCTCTGGATATGTGATTGGTTGTAGGAAAAAGGGCTGTCATAGTTGTGAGCACTTACATCTCTTACTTTAATATGTATACATATATGCATACATTAACCACTTTTTCATGTTCCATTCTCCCACTCCCATATCATATAATATAAAATGTGGTAGTGGCAATTAAATTTATACCCAAATACTTAGGCTGTAGAATATCAAATGGAGACTGTGACTCAACTAGAAGAGAAATAAGCATCACCCAAAAAACAATAATGGACAGTGTGTCCTCTGCTGAGGGTAAAGTTGCATATGATTGGGGTGGTTGTAAGGATATGTGTATTATGTTTGGCAAAAAATATGATTTTTTGTTGGAAATTAAATTAACTATATTTAAAAGAAAGGTGTATAGGGGCTCAGTCAGTTGAGCGTCTGACTCCTGATTTCAGCTCAGGTCATGGTCTCAGCATTATGGGGTCAGGCCCTGCACCCTGCTTGGGATTCTCTCTCTTTCCCTCTGCCCCCTCCACCCCCCACTCAGGTGCTCTCTCTCTAAAAAATTAAACATTAATTATTTAATTAAAGCAAAAAATAAAGAAAAATAAAAGTGTATGGATGCCAAATAGTCGGGGGTACAGTGGGGGAGGTTACAGTGGAGTGGGTGTGGTAGATTTATATTGAGTCTTCATAGGCTAGAATTAGCATTTCCCAGAATTTTTCCCTCCATTCTGGCTTAATGTGAGCCACAAAAGACTTTTTATATGAGTTTTGAAAAGTGGAAAAGCGGCAGGAGCCATATTATCTTATGCTCTAAATGTCAGTGCAATGGCGCCAGACACCACTGGGGCTCTCACACACTGTCCTGGATCTGCAGGCTCACTCTGTGGGGTGGGGGCAGCAGGTAGTCCACAGCCCCTCCAGCTCCCGCCACACTCCTCTCCTCAGCCCCCCTGATTCCTGGGTTGGTGACTGCACAGGCAGCATCATCGAAGTTGGAGGTTTGGAAGATATGCAAGACACATGTTGTGGTTTCCTTCTTTCTGTAGGTTTCCGTTTGTCCTTGCATTTTCCTACTTCAAAACCCATCTTTCCTTCCTGACTACTTTCCCCTCAGGCCTAGCACAAATGCAGAAACTGCAGCTTCATACGGACTGATAAACCATTTCCTACAATGGTGTAAGGGATAGTAGGTGTAATAAGTGCATTATTTGATAGTGCTCTGAACAGTGGCTTCTCTGATGGAACCATAACTGGTAGAGCTTTCTTTGCAAACATTGGGTATTTATCTCTCTCCACACACAACTTCTCCACCACTTTTTTTTTTTTTTTTACCATATGATGTGATTTATATAAAATGGTACTTCATTGGCGTTTCAATTTGCAAACTGGGGAATACTTCTGGAATAGAAATATCACTGAAGTCCCTTTTTAGACTTTATCTATCCTTAGAATTTCCTGTCATTTTTTTTCTTTAGTTGAAAAAGTGCTTTGAATACTCCATGTTTTTATTTCATAATACTTTACATGTGGAAGTCCCTTCTTCCATATTACTATGTGTCTGGTGGCCTATAATGAAATAATCCTCTTAATTTTGATAGAGTATTCCTTCTTTTTTGCCTTACGGTTCATTTATACTTTTGGGATTTAAGATATTTTCTCTCTTATATTAAGGTCATGATAATATTTGCCTATATTTTTTTATGTCTATTAATGTGAGAGAGAGAGAGAGAGAGGCGGAGGATGAGTGGGTGGGAGGAATCTAAAGCATGCTCCAGGCTCTGAGCTGTCAGCACAGAGCTTGACAAAGGACTCAAATCCATGAACCGTAAGATCATGACCTGAGCCAAAGTCATGCACTTAACCGACTGAGCCACCCAGGTGACCCTGCCTATCCTTTATAATACACTTTATTTTTTACATAATTTTCTTTACACAGTTTTCTTTACACAGTTCTTTTTATATACCTTTATGGTTTTATCTCTAATGTTATTTTATAAACAATTTATCCTTCCTTCCACCATTTAGTGGGGCCATCTCTCTTGAGACATACTCCCTCTCATGCACACACTATATTAGAGACACACACACACAGCCTATCTAAAAAACTTATCAATACCTAGTTTCACCTTTGTATTTTCTCCAAAATACAAGTACCCTAGCATGCTCTCACTTCCCTTCTGATCCCTCCTGCCTGACCTCTTTAACCATCTCAGCCTTCCACCAACCACACCTTCAGCACTGACTGAGAATCAACTTTCTTTCATTTCAAGTATTTGTTTACTGTCATTTTTCACTAGTTTATTAGCTTAATTTATACCAAACCTCTTTTGAATCTTTGGTAGTTCCTGAGTTGGGAGTTCAGGAGGGAGCCTGTAGAGTTTATCAATTTACCATCTTGATCAAAACCCTAATTTTTCTTCTGATGCAGATACTCTGTGATGTTTAAAAATAGTACCATCAAAACTTTAAAACTCTTTCTGTATTACTTCATTCAGTTAAATATGTAAATAATGCTACTGCTCATCAACAATCAGGTCAATGAGAACAGGCTGAATAAGTGGTAAAATAATACAGTATAAATGCAAAGTACAGG